CAAGCACCTTAACAGGAAGCAAGAGGAACAAGGCACAAGACAAGAAAACAAACAAGACAGCACAGATAAAGCGGCGCCCAAGGCGGTGAGGGAGTAAAGTGCAATAAGGGGGGAAAGAGCGGGACAAGAAACGCTGGAAGCCCTGACAGTCTTCAGTCAGAAAATCCAGGCACGAAAGAAGAGAGGAAATCAGAAAGGGAAAAGGAGGGAGCAGAGCTCAAGGAAATTACGCAACAAGGGGCAATATCGTGGAATAAGGTCCCAGCGCACGAAGGATCAGGGTGTAATCCGTAGTATGGACGAAACAAGCCTGTAAGTAATATCTTTAGCCCAAATGCCGGAGGGGTTTGTTATATCTATCCCTTACCGAGATAAGGAGGCACTATATCTAACCCCTTTCTTAAACTCAGCTGCAGCAGCAGGTCTATCTACTGCTGTGCATTTGAGCCAATAGGGTCGCAGGGAGTGGCAATTACATGTAACTGCGCGCACGATACTTGTGTAATTAAGGACATCATTGTTCAAAGGAGACGTGACTGATGTGTACTGCTCTTACTTTTTTCCCGGGATCACAAACAGGCCCGGAGTCAGCCTTTACATGGTGCCAGCCTCTCACTGGGAAAGTGTCCGTCTGGAGCGCAAGATTAGTCGACTTGATGCAGGAAAGTCTCTTCCCGGTTGAGCTCAGGAGGATTTTGCAGCTCATTTCGTATTCGTACTGGTAAATACAATCCTTCGAGTATTCTGCGCCATCGGAACGTAGTAAAGTTTGTCTGTCGTGACTGCTTTTCGATGATATGTTGATATTTCCACACAGTTTATTTTTTTGTCTGTTTACTTGTGCTATGGATCAACACGTTTTGGAACCGGAGCCCCGACATGGTCAGGTCATTGCATTGCTGTGCGAAGTTGCATTGTTCGATTCCAACCATGGATCCCATGTTGTCAAGACTGCCTTGAAAGGAAAGCTCATGCGATTTAAAGGTAGTATCCCTGCAGGAAGTACAGTTGTGCTCATTCATGAAGGGATGATTCACATGGAGAAGGATCAATGTACCATTTTTGCGACAGAGTCCACCAGAGTGTTTCCACGCCCATACATCAATGTCCATGACTTACCTAGTAGCTCTGCTTTCGTGTACAGCTTGTCTCATGCTAGGGTTAATTTCCGTGCTAGAGCCTTCATGTCTACCTGGGCAGCTGCGATACATAATTAATTTTTTGCATGCTTTTGATAGTGATGCAGTGGATTTGCCACTGCGTCCTTTTGCACATCGATACGGTGGGTGTTTTTGTTTGGGCTCTGGCCCCGTTTTTTGTGTTTGGTTTTGTTTCTGCTGTTTGCTTCGCTGTTTCTGCTGGCGAAACGCAAGTCTGGCTGGGTGCTTACTCACATGTAAGGACCGAGCCATCAGTGCGACATCGGCCACACTCGAGGAAAAAAAAAAATCAATGTCCATGACTTACTCAGATTTGTTGAGTTATGTTCAGGGGCAGGTTTCATGGGAGTAGGACTGGAACACAGCAATTTCGAAGTGGTCCTCCGATGCGACTACAATGACAAAATGCTTCAGCTAGCTCAGCATCAGTCACCTGTGTGCGTAGGAGATGTCTGTACAGATGCATTGATTGCCTCGATTTGCAGCACCGAGAAACCAGGTACCATTGCCAGTGGAGTAGTCTTGGAGACATGCGACAAGAGCACGACAAACGTGCTCTCACTCTACCTGGAGTGCTGCGCTTATTTTTTTTTCCCTTCCAACGCCTTCATGGCTTCCGCCAGGTCGTTCAACATGTTTGAGAGCATGTTGCAATCCTGGAGTGCTGCGCTTAGCCTTTTTGTGCCGCATAGAAGCAGTGATTTTAGAGTGCGTGTAGGAAATGCTGGTTCACTCGCCTTGGGTGGCATGTTCTCTTCAACCTGGCACGGTGCTTCGGTTTCGGATGGCAGGGTGGACCTGGCTGATTCCACTTGTCCAGATGTGGGTGTGACTTTGGTGGCAAATACCCTTTCAGTCACCAACTTTCGAAAATGAATGGCGTTTGGACTGCTTTGGGGCCAAACACAGCATCTCTACTCTCCAAAGTTTTTCCATCCATTCCAACATGTTGGTATGTGGATCGATGAGTTGTTCATCTCCTTGCATAAATTGCAAATGCCTCATCAATGTGGACCCAACCCATGCTGCTTGGATTGGAGATGCTAATTGTCCCAAGGCACACAACGCCAATTTGCAGTCCTTGCCCAACACATGTTAGGGAGCATACGTTCAGCAATGCCAGCTCGGCTGGGTGAACATGTCGAAACTGGGATAGACATTGTTACCACATGTGAGGGTACCTTGCAACCTGATCAAAATGCCGTGCAACTCCTTCTGAGCAAGACGATCATCATGGAATGCGAATCTCCGGCAACCACATGGACATGGTCCTAGTTGGCTACCACATGAGTGAAGACTGGTCTGCATTTGCCCCCTCCAGAGCATCTCATTTTTCTCAAAACCATGTGATGCAAAACGTTCTAACTCATACAAATCCAGCGACAACTGCTCCAGTTCCTGCTCTGTACACGCAAGGAAATGATCAAGGAGATCAGCTACCAATGGCATGGCTGTTGAAATTGGCATCGGAATCCAAGGCACTCTGCCAATTGACGGATGCGTGATGATGCACCACCAGCGGCTTCTGCGGGTGGGCCACAGCTGATGCAGGTGGTAGACACCCTGGGACAGACAGTACCCTGTGAGGAGATAGAAGGCATGCAGGACGGATTGGACCATGGACAAACCCCCGTCTCGGCTCACAAGCTTGGCAGAGTCTGAAACGAAACCTGAGGGAGAGATCCAGGCAAACGTCACCAAACGACCATGTCCTTGCCATGACCAAGACATCACATCATCAGAAATCAGGCAGTCGGTGAGAGGCCCTTCAGAAGGTACCTTAAGGGGGGAGCTTGAGAAATTGAATTTGAAGGTCCGTTGAGGAAGGCTTCTTCGAAGCCCCCTTAAGGTGCCTTCGAAGCCTTCAAAGCTCCCTTAAGGTACCTTCAAAGGCTTCAGCTAAGGCTTCAACGCTCGAAGCCACCTTAAGGTACCTTAAGGGAGCTTCGAAGGCTTCGAAGGCACCTTAAGGGGGCTTCGAAGAATTCGTCCAAGCCCGCTTAAGATACCTTCGAAGTCTTCGGCGAAGACCCCTTAAGGTGCCTTCGTCGAAGCCCCCTTAAGGTACCTTCGAAGGCTTCGAAGCCCCCTTAAGATACCTTCGAAGCCTTCGAAGCCCCCTTAAGGTACCTTAAGGAGGCTTCGGTTCCTCGTTCACCCCCCCCCTCCCCCCGTCCCCCCCTTCGGCAAAGGCTCAAGGTTCCCTTCGTCGAAGCACCCTTAAGGTACCTTCGAAGGCTTCGAAGCCCCCTTAAGATACCTTCGAAGCCTTCGAAGCCCCCCTTAAGGTACCTTAAGGCCCCCTTAAGGTAGCTTAAGGGCTTCGGTTCCTCGTTCACCCCCCCCTCCCCATCCGTCCCCCCTTCGGCAAAGGCTTGAGGTACCTTCGAAGTCTTCGGCGAAGACCCCTTAAGGTACCTTCGAAGGCTTCGAAGCCGCCTTAAGGTACGTTCGTCGAAGGCATGATCTAAAATCTAATTCGCTTGCCTTCCACAATGCCATGATCTAAAATCTAACTCTTTATTTAAACTTCCACCCCCTTCTTGCCTTCCACAATGCCATGATCTAAAATCGAACTCTTTATTTAAACTTCTCCCCTTGCCTTCCACAATGCCATGATCTAAGAGTCTTTTCACCCAGCGTGGTGATAACTCTTTATTTCCTGAATCTAAAAATGTGCGTGCCTGAATGCAGGCTAAGCTTTCTTTTTCAACCACCAAAGTTTTTTGTCTTAACCAACTCTGTATTTGGTTTTACAAATCTGCTGCAACGCCACTGTTTGTTGTTTTTGTGGTCTTGTCATGTCGTCATTTTCCTCATGTCTCATGCAAATGACGTATGTTTTCTCCCACAGTATTTTGTTCAAGAGGTGGGTAGGTGGGTTTCGCGTTTTTTACGACGCCATGTTTGAAATTTGCTGAGGGGGGTTCTGCGTGGTGTATGGCTGAGTTTTTCGATGTTGTGATTCGAGATGTTGAACTGTACAATTCAGGGCTTGGGACAGACACATCTGAACCTGTTCCTACAGTCAATTCACATGTTGACAGCGTTGTGGACTCACTGACAGTTTGGAGCCGTACACATACAGGTTTTCAGAATCCTGCTCATGCAATCACTTTGTCAGATGGCAATGCGTTACATGATGAAATTTCTGCTGATCCACCAGAACTTGAACTTTTGAATCAACATGAAACATGGACTGGATCTCAGATTGACCGTGCCTTGCAGGAAGCCCACTTCATCAACAGCCGTGCTACGGGCCAGAAGCTGCCTTGGGAATCAGGTGTATTTGCAACCATTTTTGACAGCAGTGACAGTTTTCTTGCATCACCGTTAAGTTTGTGTCCTGTACCACCTGAACTTGATGATGCACAACAGTTTGATCAGGGTGCTGAGTCTTTGCCTAGCATGCCAAGCAATGTTTTGAAACGTGATCGAACTGACAACGTTTTTGCAAATGTTGTCAAGATGAAGCGTGATGTCGATCATCTTACTGAAGTTTCAGAGCTGTGGGCCAAAGCCTTAAAGAAGTGGCACACGGTGCTAGCGTGTACCGGCTATGCAGGCTTGGTCGGAGCCACAGTCAGAGACATGGTATGCGATGGCAAAGAACTGGAAGGTACCCTCAGAGATGTTTTTGGCAACAAATCATGTCGTACTGCAAACAAAAGGGCTTCAACAATGTTGGCACTGTTCTCTTGGCTTGACAGGAAAAAACTGCAGGTGTGGCCAATCAAACCAGAATATGTTGCAGCGTATCTCAATGAATCCAATGTTGGTGGAGCTGGCAGCACAAAGGGTAAAACTTTGATGGAGGCACTTCGTTTCTGCAAATATGTCATGAGACTGCCAGAGCTGGATGAGATCATCGACGACCCCGTGTTGACAGGCCGTGTCAGGCGCTTGGATGCTGCAAGAGACACTGTCAAACAGAGTAGACCGCTTCTGCTTTCAGAAGTTAAATTCATTGAGGAGTTCCTGGTATCCGACTTGAATATTTTTGACAGGTACATTGCAGGATGCATTTTATTTGCCATTTACAGCAGGTCGAGATGGTCAGATCTGGCGTTCCTCAGTGATTTGACCCTTGATACAACAGAGACGGAACTGGGACTTGTGGGTTTTGTGGAAGGTTCAACAAGGTTTCAGAAGACAAGTACGACAGCTTTGAAACGGGCTATGCAGATGCCACTGGTTGCACCCATACGAGGGGTGACAGAAAGGTTGTGGGCTGTCGAGTGGTTTGACATTCTCAAGCAAGTTCAGTTCAACTTGACTGCAAAACCCATAGGCGCCGTATGCAGGCCACCGACCAATGGCATGCTTGGTACCAGGCATCTATCTTCAGAAGAGATGGGAGATTTTCTCAATCATGTTCTGGGGCTTACAGGTGAAAGAGTTGTGACGAGTCATTGCATGAAGACCACAACACTCACTTGGTGTGCAAAATATGGATTGGAGGAACCAGCAAGGACACTGCTGGGCCATCATGAGTTGCAGTCTCAGAGCCTGGCTTGTTACTCTCGCGACATGCTCAGTCGCCCGCTGGCCTTGTATGAATCGATGCTGCTGAACATCAGATCAGGCAGTTTTCTACCAGACGAAACAAGATCGGGCAGGTTTGCCCAACGCAAAGGCGATGTTGCCTCCGCATGTTCAGAGGAGCCGATGCGTGTGAGAGTCAAGGTGGAGAACTTCCCTGAGGGACTCAGCACTCAGAGTCGGAGTGAAGCAGACCATGTTCTTGGTGTGGTCGATTTGACTGAAAGCAGTTGGTCGCTGGTTGGCAGCCCTGTCAGTGAACAAGACGCTCGACAGGAGAGTCCGGCCAGAGCCTCATCTGATGATTCCAGCAGCAGCTCATCAAGTTCCTCTGCACAGGAAGAGCCACTGCAACAGAAGTATGCTTTGGATGGTGAAGTGAAAGATTGCAATGAGCCAGTGTATCAGCACAAGCAGAGTCGAGTGCTGCACAGACCCAACAAAGTTGCAGGGTCCCTTGCGTGCGGCCGTAGGCTCGGTGACAACTACAGGTTTCTGGAACAGGGGGCTTCCTTCAAATGGGCGAGATGCTCTCTATGCTTCAAAGGTGAAGTTATTACAAAGACGGATCAGCTGGCAGAAGCGATGGCAGCTATCCATGCCAGGCGTAAAGCTCAGTAGTGACTTTTGCAAAGTGATTTCATGAAACTTGTGGTTTTTCGAAAGGTTTTGTTTCACCATTGTCATGGAAACATGTGTCACAGTTGCATGGGTCAAGTCAAAGACTCTGATCACGCTGATATGGATCAGTCTGAATCTCAGCTGGGGCCAAAAAACATGCGGGACCTGATGTCCGGCTTTGTCGGAAATTTCATTTAAGACTTGAATGCAAGTTGTCAATGCTTTTAATCTAATGGGCACATGACCGTGAATGCACGGCAAATGGATTCACAGTGTGAGTCAAATGAATGTCACGTTGTCTGAATGCAGCAACAGTTCCATGTGAGTGCATGAAAATTTGGATTTCTCGAATGCATTGCTGTGCAATGATTTCAGGTATGTCGTCAGGTCCCAACAGGTCTATATGTGACCGTGGCTCCAGCATGCTTTCGAATTCAATCATGAGTGGTATTCACGCCAACTCATGTTCACCTTGATGTATCAGTTTGCAACCTTTTCCGTGGAATTTTCAACATGTACATTTTCAGTTCTCACCCGCTGAATCTTGTAACAGTTTGCAACCGTTTTCATGGAGTCTTCAACATGTGCATTTTCAGTTTCCACCCGCTGAACCTTCGTGAAGCTTCATGGCAAGCAACACCTTGTTGGAATCAGTTGCGGCGTTTGAGACGCAAGCCAGACGTGCTGGGCTCAATGAACAATGGGTCGAAGCCTTTGGACGAAACAACTTGAACAGACTTGGAAGACTTGCATATGCAGTAACTACTCCTGGTGTTGCGCCTTCAACGGAACAAGTGACAGATCTGATGAATCAGTTGCGCTTTGGTGTTGGCCCTACTCTTAGTGAGATTGCAGCAGTGAAGCGTGTGATTTTCGAAGCTCAGACATTGACCATTGCAAGTTTGCGATCAACTGTTCATTCACCTGATGATGCCAGTACAAAAAGGGTGGCACCAGCTGAGCGATCAGCGCGTTTGGAAGCGCAACGAGCACGACTTCAAGGTTTGGAACTGTCGGGGCCTATGGAACCGAGTCACTGGTTGTATGATCAATTTTCAGCCATGCTTGAGACAGGTGAACTCAAATATATAGCTCCTGGCAAGTGCATGACTCGTCAGCAGGAGTTGGCAGGTGAGAGGCCAGATAAGCAGATCAAGTTGGATGAGACTCGTAGCAGCTTGGTTGTAAAGGACAAACAGCAAGAACAAGAAGCAGAAATTGGAAGTGACCTCAGCCTGCTGCAAGCTATGACTCGCCGTGCACTGGCGATGGACCTGGTGGGTATTGCTACTTTTAATACTGTCATGAAGTTTGTCAACCGCATGTTTACCCTGATGACACAAGCGCCAGCACCAGGTTTTTCGAAGCCAGGACATGCTCAGCTCCTTAGAGCAGATCGGCAGGCCTTCATGAGGTTGGCAGAGACTGTGCAACCACCTTTTCATGTCAACGCAGCAGGTGTTTTGCCACTTGACTTGGCCTTTGACCAGTTGCACAATGATGTTACAGTTACATATCACATGTTGCCTGTGCCATTGACGCGTCAGTCAGACAATGACAGAAGGGCTGACCCGAACAATACAAAGACCAAGAAGCCGGTGACCAAGCCTGGAGGTAACCCCAGTCCAAAAGGCAAGGCAGGTGGCAAAGGCAAGCGTCAGCCAATGCCGCAGCAGTTACATGGGATGCATCACAAGACACCGGCGGGCAAGGCGATTTGTTTCAATTTTAATTTGGGCAAGTGCAAAGACAAGAAATGCCCCAGGGAACACGTGTGCTGTGTTCCTGGGTGTTACAAGAGCCATCCACAGACTGAACACGAAGGTCATTGAAAACAGGATGGCAGAGGATACAAAAGGAAATCCAGTCAATGCTTTCTGAACAATGTTGAGCCCAAGATGCCAACTAATGATGGAGCACTGCCCTCTCCGAGAAGTATCCCTCTTGATGGCTGTTTCGGTATAGAGCTTTTTTGTGGGACAGCCGGCCTTACTGCGTGTATCAGGGCCCTTTTACCTGACAGTTTTGGAATTGATCACAAAGTGAAACATCCTAAAAGCCAGGTGATTTGCCTTGACCTTCAGAAACCTGAAGTGCAAGAAATGGTCATGCAGTGGGCGTCGGATCCCAAGTGCGTATGGGTTCACTTTGGGGTACCATGCGGCACCGCTTCTAGAGCAAGGGAACGCAGGATGTCCAAGGCCCATTTTGGGCCCAGACCAATGAGGTCTAAGCAATATCCAGATGGACTTCCCCCACACTTGCTTAACCAAAATTCACGGGACAGACTTAGAGCTGCAAACCGTTTGTATCACTTTATGCAGAAGCTAATTTTGAGCTTGCCATCCACAACAGTTTGGACTATAGAGAATCCCCTCCGGAGCTGGCTTTGGCAGACATCCTATTTTCAGACGATAAAAAGCCGGACAAAGGTTTTCTTCTTTCAGTTTGACATGTGTATGTTTGGAGGGCGTCGATTAAAGAAGACTGGTATCGCCACAAACTGTGCAAATGTTAATGCTCATGCAATGCTATGTGATGGACTACATGAACATGCACCTTACGAATTCCGCACTGGACAATTTGACACTGCCTTGGAAGCCGAATATCCACGGAGCTTTTGTGAAGCCCTGGTGCGTGGGGTAGCGGAGCATTTACAACAACTTCATGGCTGGGGACCACTTGATTTAGCAAAGAAAATCAAGCTTGCGAGGGCTGCAGCAACAGTAACAAATCAGCAACCCAAGCGTATGCCACAGTTGGTCCCAGAATTTGAGAATGTACGCCAAATTTTACATGTACCTCACGATGTGGCTTTTTCACTTGACTCCAAGCGGAACACGTTGCAATGCCATGTTTTTCAATGTGACAATGCCGAAAATACTGAAATTTTGATTCCATGCCAATCCCGAATGTTGCGCCGCACTCCTCAAGGGGGGTGTTCCAGTGTCGGCGCTGGGCAAACAGGTCAGACTGACAACTGCAATACGGTATCATTGGATTTACTGAAAGCCAATGCTACGCAAGGCCTGGTTGCCAACAAATTGGATAATGATGGTAGCGGTGCGTGGACATGCAACAGGTGCTCGACAGTTGTCCACGTAAAATGTGACAGCACCGTCAAAGCTGATGAGATTATTTTTGGCTTGTATTGGTCACCGGAGAGATTTCTGGCTCAGGTGGCAATGGCTGGGCATCCACAACATCTGGTTTTGGGTATGTCTGAGGCCGTGCAGACTGCAGTTGATGCCAATGTTCAATTGTCATACCATGACATCGTCATCCACAGGTGCAGATGGTTTGGTAAATATTTGCCGCTTGCAAAATCCTTGAGAGACGAAGAAAACGAAGTATTATCAGCGATGCCTACGCCAATGCGGGCCATTATGTCTACAAAACGCATCGCGCTACTGGATAAGATCTTGCGGGATGAATCCTACCCGGATATGGGCCTTGTGGATGACCTCAAGAGAGGCTTTGACCTTGTTGGCGAGTTGCCTGAGTCAGGTGGAGTCCTGCCTCAGAAGTTTGTACCAGCTACCATGGCAGTAGCTGAGTTGAGTTCGAACGCGGCCAGAGCTCGTTTTGCTTTGAAGGGGTCCAATGCTTCCAGCGGAGATCCTGACCTTGACACAAAACTTTATCAGAAGACACTGGATGAGGTGGACAAGGGCTGGTTACGTGGACCTTTGGAATGGGCTGACTTGGAAAGCAATGCAGTTGTCTCAAAGAGATTTGGCTTACAGCAAGGCGAGAAGTTGCGGCCTATAGATGACTACAGTATGAGCTCAGTGAATGCGACAGTCACTGCAAAGGATCAGGCTACAGCTGACAATGTGGATGTGATTTGTGCAATGCTACTGCAGTTAATGGCAGGCTTGAGAGAGCGTGGCAAGAGCACTGTGCTGCGGGCAAGATCCTTTGATCTAGCAGCAGCCTACCGTCAGCTTTGTGTCGCACCGACATCCAAACCTTTCTCATACATATGTGTTTACAACCCACACAAAAAGACCAACGAAGTCTTTGCTCAAGTGTGTCTGCCTTTTGGCTCCAAAGCGGCAGTGAACGCTTTCATTCGCTGCTCAAGGTGTATACAGTGGCTTGCTTGCAAATGTCTTTACTTGCCAACTACATGTTATTATGACGATTTTGTGGTTGCTTCACCTTCGCAGTTGCAGCAGAGCAGTGAATCATCAATGTGCTTGTTGTTTGAACTTCTCGGATGGGCCTACGACAAGGAGGGGCCCAAGGCGGACACATTTTCAGAGCTTGTTTCCTCACTGGGAGTTGTCATTGACCTATCCAAATCTGTTTCTGGACAGGTCGAAGTCATGAACACTGAAAAACGCAAGAAAGATTTGATGGACATTATTTCCACCGTACTGAAGGATGGTGTTTTGCAATACAAAGATGGTCAGATTTTGAATGGCAAGCTTGCTTTCGCGCATGGGCAGATTTTTGGGCTGTCAGCGAAATACGTTTTACAGTCTGTATATGATCATATATATGCCAAGCCTTTTAGAGCGAAAATCAGTGATGAATTGACCAATGCTTTACAATTTTTTCGAGACAGGTTGGTTGCCAGCCTTCCCAGGATGATCAACATGGCGACCAGACATACTAGGTTCATTTTGACTGACGCCAGTTTTGAACCAACCTTGAATGGCGGTATAGGGGGTGTGCTCTGCAGTCCCGACGGCAAAGTCGAGCAATGGTTCCAAATGCAGCTGAAACCAGAACACATCGAACCCTTTATGACTAAGGATCAAGAAAATGCCATTGCTGAGTTGGAAACGCTAGCAGTTGTCATGGCGATGCGAGTTTGGTCGTCAGTCGTTTTTTCGCAGCACCTTGTTTTCTGCCTGGACAATGATGTTTCAAGATTTGGATTGATAAAGGGATATTCCAGTGCACCTGGTGTCACGAGCTTGGTAAGACTTGCTTCTCAGATTTGCGAGGAGGCTATGATCCTCCCTTGGTTTCTGCGTGTGGCATCACCTTCGAACATAGCTGACTTTCCTTCACGCCTTCAAAAGCATTTTTTGCTCCACACATGTGATATGGTGCCTGAAAATGAAACACTTGGAGCTTTCGAGCATGTTGTAACTTTTGTGAATCGAACCCATTAGAGAATGGGGGGGATCCATGGGTCCGAACGAGGATGGCCGAAAAGCTCCAACTCTGCTGAGAAAAAAGAATGGACCTTTGTGCGTTTCATGTCATTGTGCTGATGTGTCGTTTTCTGAGTGCTTTGTGTTTTACGGTTTTTGCATGTGAATTTTTGAATACGGCGTTTTCGTTACGAATGCGTTTCGAACTTCCGTTTTATGGCACGTTTGCGAACTACCTACGATGGGTAGTGTGCTGTTTGTCTTTACTCCTTTTATGGCGTTGCTGTTTACTTTGGTGGTTTTTATGTGAAAGGAAATAAGAGTCTTTTCACCCAGCGTGGTGATAACTCTTTATTTCCTGAATCTAAAAATGTGCGTGCCTGAATGCAGGCTAAGCTTTCTTTTTCAACCACCAAAGTTTTTTGTCTTAACCAACCCTGTATTTGGTTTTACAAATCTGCTGCAACGCCACTGTTTGTTGTTTTTGTGGTCTTGTCATGTCGTCATTTTCCTCATGTCTCATGCAAATGACGTATGTTTTCTCCCACAGTATTTTGTTCAAGAGGTGGGTAGGTGGGTTTCGCGTTTTTTACGACGCCATGTTTGAAATTTGCCCGCCCTCCCATACCCTCTTTTTCTTATATCTTCCCATGAAATGTCATGGGTTCTTTGTACCTGAATGCAGGTTTCTTTCTCACCCTTACTCCATCCCTCCGAACGAGGATGGCCGAAAAGCTCCAACTCTGCTGAGAAAAAAGAATGGACCTTTGTGCGTTTCATGTCATTGTGCTGATGTGTCGTTTTCTGAGTGCTTTGTGTTTTACGGTTTTTGCATGTGAATTTTTGAATACGGCGTTTTCGTTACGAATGCGTTTCGAACTTCCGTTTTATGGCACGTTTGCGAACTACCTACGATGGGTAGTGTGCTGTTTGTCTTTACTCCTTTTATGGCGTTGCTGTTTACTTTGGTGGTTTTTATGTGAAAGGAAATAAATTCCAACTCTTTATTCACACTTCCTCCCCTGCCTTCCACAATGCCATGATCCAAAGTCAAACACTTTATTTAAACTTCCCTCCGCTTGCCTTCCAATGCCATGATCTAAAATCCAACTCTTGTTTTTAAAACTTGAATCTAAAATCTGACTTTTTATGAACTTCCCCCTCCCTTGCCTTCCACAATGCCATGATCTAAAATCTACTGTTTATTTATAGTTCCACTCTTGCCTTCCACAATGGTATGATCTAAAATCGAACTCTTCAAAATTTCCCCCCTGCCTTCCACCATGCCATGGTCTAAAATCTAACTTAAACTTCCCCCCGCTTGCCTTCCACAATGCCATGATCTAAATTCCAACTCTTTGTTTAAATTTCATCCCCGTGCCTTCCACAATGCCATGATCTAAAATCTAACTCTTTATTTAAACTTCCCTCCTTGCCTTCCACAATGCCAAATTCTAACTCTTTATTTCAACTTCCCCCCGCTTGCCTTCCACAATGCCATGATCTAAATTCCAACTCTTTATTTGAACTTCCCCCCCTGCCTTCCACAATGCCATGAAGTAAAATCTAGCTCTTTATTTGCACTTCCTCCCCTGCCTTCCACAATGCCATGATCTAAATTCCAACTCTTTATTTACACTTCGCCCTCTTGCCTTCCACAATGCCATGGTCTAAAATCCAACTCTTGTTTTTAAAACTTTGATCTAAAATCTGACTTTTTATGAGCTTTCCCCTCCCTTGCCTTCCACAATGCCATGATCTAAAATCTAACTCTTTGTTTATAGTTCCACTCTTGCCTTCCACAATGGCATGATCTAAAATCGAACTCTTCAGTTCCCCCCTTGCCTTCCACAATGCCTGATCTAAATTCCAACTCTTTATTTAAATTTCCCCCTTGCCTTCCACCATGCCATGCTCTAAAATCTAACTTAAAACTTCCCCCCGCTTGCCTTCCACAATGCCATGATCTAAATTCCAACTCTTTGTTTCAATTTCATCCCCCTGCCTTCCACAATGCCATGATCTAAAATCTAACTCTTTATCTAAACTTCCCCCTCCTTGCCTTCGACAATGCCATGATCTAAATTCTAACTTTTATTTAAACTTCCCCCCTTGCCTTCCACAATACCATGATCTGAAATCTAATTCTCTTGCCCTCCACACGACTGCCCCCAGGCAGTCGGTGAGAGGCCCTTCAGGAAGGTACCTTAAGGGGGGAGCTTGAGAAATTGAATTTGAAGGTCTTAAGGGGGCTTCGTAGCCTTCGAAGCTCCCTTAAGGTACCTTCAAAGGCTTCAGCCAAGGCTTCAACGCTCGAAGCCACCTTAAGGTACCTTAAGGGAGCTTCGAAGGCTTCGAAGGCACCTTAAGGGGGCTTCGAAGAATTCGTCCAAGCCCGCTTAAGATACCTTCGAAGTCTTCGGCGAAGACCCCTTAAGGTACCTTCGTCGAAGCCCCCTTAAGGTACCTTCGAAGGCTTCGAAGCCCCCTTAAGATACCTTCGAAGCCTTCGAAGCCCCCTTAAGGTACCTTAAGGGGGCTTCGGTTCCTCGTTCACCCCCCCCCTCCCCCCCCGTCCCCCCTTCGGCAAAGGCTTAAGGTACCTTCGAAGGGGGCTTAAGGTACCTTCGCCGAAGGGTGCTCCACGACTGCCCCTCAGAAATCGATTCCAGAGGTGGTGTACCAGGTTTTGCAGTGACCAAACGAATCAAGTTGGCCCCAACCAAACATCATGACCGAGGTTGCAGGAACTCAACTGTTGCGTGTGATGCCAGCCAACTGACCAATTCATCCGGGAGTCAGGACCCTGCCTGCACTGAACATTCGGTAGTGCCTGCACAGCCGCCTATGCTGTCACATGCATCCGATCATCCAGCCGTCTTTTCTGAAAATGAGCAGATCCACAGTCATGATCGTGAAAGTAGGTTTGGCCCCACCCGACCCGATGCAATGCCTCTTCCACGTTTAGGGTGTGGAGGCCCCTCCTATGGAATGTTGAACCAAGTTCAAGGGCAGCAAACCGCATTGTCAGGTGAGCTTTTGCCACCCAGTGCAGCCATGCCACACTCCTTTGCCAGTGGAAATGCGATACAACTTGATGAAGGCCAAGCAGTCCGTCTTTCTACCCCACCAACCGGTGGTGTACCGAAGTTGAAACCGACTGACGTCACTGTCAGATGAAGGCCGAGCAGTACCTTCCACACGTCCAGGGTGGGGAGGTACCAACCTAGAGGAAAACAATCAACAGGCAGGTACAGTAAGCAAAAGGGAAGATGACCTTGCCCTGCAGCCGCAGGAAAAGAACGATGTTATCCAAGCCAAAGATTTGCGTGCAGAAACAAGCCAGTCCGGAAGTCCCAAATGTGCCCATGCCCCACTGCCAGGTACCGAAGTTTGCAGCCTCGCCGATCCCGATCCCACCCGCAGATGTACATGCCAAGCCTCTTCCACGTTTCGGGTGTGGAGGCCCAGCCCCTGCTGAGATCAAAGGAAGTTCACAGATAGGCACCAAACAAGATTCTGCAAGCTCCAACCAATCTGGGGCCCCTGCGCGTGATGATTGCATGCCTTTGCCAGCAAATTTCCACCGAAGACCCGAAGAACATGTGATTGCCAGCTCCAGCTATCTTGGACTAGTGCCCGAGGTGTCTCAGCCAGGTGCCAACCAGTGTTGTTCCTCCCCTAAGCCCCAAGCCATGCCTCTTCCACGTTTAGGGTGTGGAGGTCCCGCCCCAAAATGTCATGAGTCAGATGGAACACCAGCAAGTGCAGAACTGCCTAGCCATACCACAACCGGTCGATTGCACGACATAAGTGTTCATAGCTCGCCAGGACATGTGAAATCAGAGCAACCGGCTGGAGTTGAAAAGCCCAGAACAGTGGATGAAAAGCACCAAGGAAGTGAATTGACACCCCAAACCAAGCCTCTTCCTGTGGAAATATCCGGTATTTTTGGCTGGTGAGCGA